CTTTTATATTTGCGTACTATCTTTTTATAAGCATGATTAGTCAAATATACTGCAAAAAAGAGAGAGTAAAAAGAGAGAGTTCAAATCTTTTAAAAATTATTTTAAAAAAAATATTATATATATATATATTGCAATTAGTACGCAAAAATAATCTCAAATATTACGTTACAACCATAAATTATTAAAATTATATTATTCCTACGTTATCTGAATAATTATGTCTTTCAATTTTTTTAGATCAAGTAAATTCCTTTATGAGGATCAATCGAAATTTCTTTAAACCGCCAGTCAGCGAGGAAGTGAAGAACTTGGTGCGCAGCAACTTTACTCGCGAAGTCGAATTCTACCAATTCTGCAAGCAGCGACTTTATAGACAATACAGAGCTCTTAAATTGCGATCGAATGTTCCGTAGTCCGCAATCGTAATGTGATCTCTAATAAAGACATCTTTTCTATCTGTTATTATGCGAAGGCAATTATTAAATTACGTAAAAGACATTGTACGTACAAAAAATAATAGAAAAACTTTTAATGCAATTGCATTTATTAATGTTAATGATTCGATAAAGATCTACAAAAAATTATAATTACTTTTTAATATTAATGATTAATAATAATAATTTATAAAAATCTCCTAATTAAAATTAAATAATGTAAAAAATTCATTTTCTACAAGAATATGAGAGTTAAATAATATTTTAAACTAATATATTAGACTAATATATTAGATTTAAACCAATATATTAGATAATATATGACAGATATGTGCTCTATTTGTTCAGTCATTACAATATTATTGAGATTACAATTTTAATAATGGCATATTTGCCAAAATCGTGATATTTTATTGAGGATTTGATTATAATAACTATTTTACGAGTAAAAGACAAAAAAATTTAATTTTTCTTTACGATAAATGCAATGACCTTAAATACTTGATATACTTCAAAAAATCTAAAAGAAATCTAAGGAAACAAAATCTCATGACATCAGATTTTTAGCTATAATGATTCTATGATATCAAAGAAAATTTTATGACAAAAAAAAAATAAATAATTGATTCTTCGCGTGACTACTGTGATGATCTAGTTCCATGCTTTTAAAAAAATTTTGATAGATCTATTATAAAGAAACAAAATCTTATTATCAAATTTTTTAGTACATTGATGATCTCATGATATAAAAGACAAAAAAGATAATTTGGAAGTCATGAGATAAAGTTTAACGCATTTAGATAAATCTTGATAGACTTATGAGTCTAATAACAGAATTTAATATAAATACAATTAAAATAATAATTAAAGAAAGAAAATATATAGTTTCCATGCATTTAGCAAAATGTTTATAGAGTTCCAAGTTTCGGTAAAAAATGATCTACCATATGAAACTTGCTATGACGCGCGTGAATGTATCACGCAACCCAGAAATAGAGACTCTCTGAGTAATGCCGAATGATTACTTGCGATCAGACGTCATGTTGCTATCTTTTTAATAGACATCACTATACATGCAAGTTCTAGGCATTTTTTGTCATTGTAGGGATATTTCTCGTTAATGAATAGTATTTGCAATGATTTTTCTCGCCAGTGACTTATGAACGACGCAAAGACTGATAAAACTATGATATTTTTTATCGCGGAGTGTTTGCAATTATAGAGAAAAATGTACAGGGTAACGATTATTAGAATATATCGCTTTTGTAAGAGAAAAATACGTTTGTATCTCATTGACTTACGATTATTTGGAATAAAATGCTGCCATTTGAAAAGGAACCATCACCTTTACTTAATTGTCCTTTTATTTAATTGTCTCATCGTTCAATTATTCGTTAACATGTCTTTTATCAATTTATTATGCTATCCAGTATTAAAATTCTGCATCCAATTACCGATTAATAATAATAAACAAAAAATCTGATCTTTTTAATATTACATAATTGGGGAATATTAAATATTTAAGCAGATATTAATACATATTATTTCAATTTCTCATGTTAAAAGTCTACACGTAGCATTTATCGTTTAAACGAAGAGTATGTGCCAAGTCATATCCGGCGACACAACTGGAAGTTTAAATCTATAGCGTTATTTTTATTTTGAGAATCTAAAGCTAGATTTATAAATATACACCGAACAAACCATGACGTGTGTGCGTTTATGTACTTTCTTAAATTAACGAATGAGCTAATATAAATTTTATTTAGCACTTACAATTTGGATACCTGATGTGAATTTAGTACTTAAAGTTAGACGAATTATAAATAGGACTTAAAAATAGATTTTCCTGATCGTGAAACAGAAAAAAACTACACGAATCCATTTTTTTATTTTTTATTTTAATAATATATAGAGAACAAATATTATATGGATATATTATATATAATATAGTATATATATATGATATATCTATATAATATTGTATATATATATATATATATGGATAAAATTTGTTCATATACAGTTTGTATGTTATACAAATATATCATATATAATATGTGTCTGTATATATAGTTATTCTTTCATAACATTCAATCTTCATTCACGCATGTCCGATTTCTACTAAAACGTATTTGTTAACATATTTATGTAAAATTCAGTAACAGAAAAATTTACATTAAAATCACACTTTATTATACGTCAAAGTAAATAAAAAATTTGTAATAAACATGAAATCAAATAGTTTGATCACGAAAATGTATAAGTAGGTGCAGTATTTATACGTATTATAGAATAACGCATTTCGGTTATTATATCTTATCTTCTTTTCTTTTAATAATATAAATAATATTCGTATTTTCGACGATACAAAAGATTCAGTGGCTCTTATCCTAATATATATATATATCTACATAGAAAAATATATTACGATTTGGACTACACAATACTAATCAACATTGTCTTGGACATAGAAGTACTTGCGAAGAGATATGATTTAATTAGTAAAATAGTGATTTATGGCCAAATATTCAGGCACATCTTCCATCGGTCCATTGATCCATACGTTTTTATCAACAACATGCACCAAGTGTGTATTATAAAAATTAGATATCTGTAAGATTTTCTACATAAATTAATACTAATTGTTGTTGCTCTAGAAATGTTTGGATCCGGACGGATGATAATATATGGACGGTACCGATATACACTCTATGTCTCGTTCATATTTGAAAATATACAGAATTACACATATCAGGCTTAGAGCCGGGCATATTTCGACCGATTTTGCCTATCGTCATCCCAGTAAGCGAATTGACCAATCACAGTACAGTCCGTAAGGCCATAACGGAAGCAGTAGCCAATTCAACATGTTGATTTCCTGCTTACGTCTTATTGTTAAACAGAGAGTTAAGCACAGACTCTTACATGAAGCATAACACGTAACGCATAAGGAAATGTACCAATCAAAATCCTTCGTTTCCTTCCTTTCCATGAAATAAAGAACTCTGATTGGTTGAATTTTTTTATGCCTTATATCATGCAAAAGTCTGTGCTCCACGCTTTACATCCTTAATTTTTTTTTTGTGTGCCATGGCCCTAAATGCTATGAAACAAAAGTAGAGATGACAATAGACAAAATTGGTCGAAATGTGCAACTCGGTTCCAGGCCTGATATATATAAAAATACAGTAAGAATAATTCAATGCTATTTATATATGTATGTATGTATATGTATATATGTATATATATATATATATATATATATATATATAT